ACATTCTAATTTACATTACTATAATCAATAACAAGAGTAATATGCACAACTAATTCGCATCAGTAATTCCCATGTTATAGATGAAATCATTTTCTCATTTTTGACAACAGACTCTATGATGTCATACTTTACCCATAATCCTTTGCTTGAGAATCAAGATGGCTGACTACACAATACTAATGAAATGTTGAATATCTAGAGAATGAAAAGTGATATAAAAAAACTGTAAATTGCATTCACCTACATTTGTGGAGCTTTTTCTTTGGGGGGGGGGGTCATTATGTTGTTTGGCTTGACTTCCCCTTTACTGTGAGAGTTCCTTCCTATCCCTTATCCCTGATAATATCCATGATCAAATTTCATCTAATTGAATAAAAATTGACATTTAACAAAGTTTGAGCTGAAATAAAGATTATATATTATTTATCATCCTTTTTTCATTCATTCATATGGGTTTATACCATCAGAATATTGAAAATTGAAAAAAAAAAATATGGAAAATTGTCAAAACTGGCATTTTTACCTTGGCTTCTATGATGACATTATTCCTTCATAACTCAAAATCTTGCTTACTGACATGGGATGAAAAAGTCATATAATATTATTAACAGTAAAATTTAATGAGTTTCCATGGTAATAATAATTTTCCATTATATACAATGGGAGGATATCTCCCACAATGCATTGCATATATGTACAGCTGTCTTAAATGTTGCACATAATTATTGATCTCTAAAATGATGATAAGAGGGTTAAATTGCCCCAAGGATGTCTGCTATGAGGAAGTGTTTAAAGTGCTGTGGTTGCATTTGAATGTTTTTCTTTTTTTGAATAATTTACATGATTCACATTCAAACCCTTTCCTTTGATGACGCAGCAACAAAGCCCATGATCGAAATAGAACAGGGCATGCACAAATAGTTTTCACTGGCATTTTGGGGTTGTTATATCTCACTACATTATGACTAAAAGCATAAAAAGATGTATAATAACTAGGTCATCTCAAGCATACCGCAAAGTATGCACTCGGGCAGTACAGGATCACATCAGCCTTGTAATAACCTCCAATATAATTTATGTTTCAGGTACTCTTATCCTGCAGTCATGTCTTCCATAGGGTGAGTTGAGAATTTTACAAGAATATAAATATTATTATATTATTATTTTTTTTATTTATTTATTTGTTGCTACCCTTTTACATCAGGGACTCACTAATAAGTAATTAGGAGCTGCAATAAAATTACTGGAAAAAACACATGCTATATAAATGGAAAAAGAAATACAAAAAACAAACCTTTTAAATGTTAAAATGTTACTATGCATACAAATAAACAAGTGTTAATAAAATAAACATGATTAATTTACTGATATTTACTACATGGGGCTACCATCTTGAATACGACTTGAAAATAAATAAATCGACAAGTTGAGAATTACGTTTTTCAGATTCCTACAAATCAGGAAAAAATTAATAAACTTTCACAAACAAACAATTCGTTTGTGAACGTTGAACCAACTCCTAACAAAACTCGACTGAATTCATCATTTTTGTGTTGAAAATCTTTTGCATACTAATACAACTAATTTAGGATGACCATGAAAGGAAATACAGAAAGCACACTATTACATAGTCTAATGTAAAATTATCATTGCATACTTGTTTGCTGTGATAACTATTGTTCTGAGCAGTAAAGTTGTTTAAAAATTCATAGTTACAGTGTTAAAAGTCCCTCAAAAGAAGCTGATTAATCTACACTATTATTAGCAATAGCAGACAATTTGATTCAGCTGACTGTTCATTATACATGTACATATATTATTCCACCATAACAAAACCAGCTGGTTTCCTCAAAAATCCCACTCATAAACGTAAGACTTGCATATTTTGGTATTACCGGTATATAAAATCAAATAGTTTGAAATCTAATCATTCCACCCCTTGCAACAAGTTTTTTTTTTTTTTTTTTAAACAGGGAGGTTTTTGTGGGTGCAAATTATAATTATGGTGTGAAACCTTAATCTGATTTGTCTTTCTTCATATAGAACTGCTTGCAGGCTTTTGAGAGATTCACAGGGAAGAAGACATGTCCCATGTGTAGAAAAGAAACCTACCAGACAAGAGTGATATATGAGGGGGCAAGAGAACACAGACAAAAATCGGCTGTTTTGTAAGTTTGTAGGTCTACAGTCTTGTCATTGTTGCAATATTATATGGCAGATATTACAAGTCAATCTTTATCACGCTGTTGTAAACACCTATCAAGTTACTGAGCAACT